AAATTTTGACAGACAAGAAAAACCACTCGACTCTTAGTCGACGAACTTTAAAGTAGTTTTGTGGATGAACATTGAAATCAATGGAAAAGGCACTCAGTTTCACCGATATGTTTACACAGACTAACAGAAGTTGGTATTCGCAACGCCAAATCGCGTCCGGAAATAGATTCGATCACTTATTAAAGGTAATAACTGCAAAAAGGAATAGCAAAAACTGGTCGGCTACGACATCAAACCTATGTGTTTACTGCAAGTACCAACCTGATCTTCCTCTAGGGAACAGGAGACAGAAAGTTATTAACGGCTTCTGCCTAAGAGAGTGGGTAAAGCAGTTACAAATGGGTGGCAGTAGAAATTAGTTCACAATCACTAAAAAGGTGACTTTACTTCGGAAAAAAAGTTCCGTCGCACGCAATACGATGTCGAGAGGGCCACTTCTGGCCACGTCTGAACAACGCCACTTTCTAAATTGATCCAATTGATGCCAGTTTTGTTTCGTACAAAGCCAGCCCAGAGGCAATCGGTTTAGGTAATGCAAATACAATTGCGACAATTTAGTTTTAAGGACGTAGGCGATAGCAACTTGCATTTGAAAGAATAACCGCAGTTGGACCGCCTCCCTAGACACTAGAAAACAAGACGGTCAGGTATCGAATGTTACCCATAATCCTTCTCAACCACCCATACAATCCAGCGCTGAGTCACCAGAAGCAGACCGTAAAATGTATTTTACTAGAATAAAATTTGATAATACACAGAGAGAAAAGACAGTAAACCATGGGTTTGCTTCCACGAATAATATTTGACACAAATAAGCAGGTCGCTAGCATTCTGCAGTCGAGTTTCCAATTTCATCATTACCATCCCCATCAATGTCCTCGTTGTTGGTACCAACGCTTTCTTCAGACTCGCCCGTTGGTTGTTTTTCTCCCTCACTTAAGGAGGACAATTCCATGTCGACCCCAATGTCAATCTCTGCTTCGGCCTCCAGACTGGCCAGTGCAGAGGCTTGATTGATTCGGAAGTCTCTCGACAGCCCCATACAAATGTTGTCGCTAAGGGAGGCCTGCGAGAAAAACTTTTTGAGAATGGGGTGCTTAAATTTTGTAAAATTTACACAACTCCTAATATCTATCTGTTTCAACAATACAAAGCACAAACAAAAGCATGTTGAGTGGGCAGTATCGTATACTTAACCATATATGGCCAAAAAAAGTAATTTTCTACTGATATTGTAGTCATTTGAGGCTGAAACAAGCCAGGAAATTTTATGCCAAGAAAACGATGTAGCTAATGTGCCTATTTCCTAGGCCAATAATACAGAAAACGTAAATAAGCAGTGAAGTAAAAGTTCCATGTTCGGAATAAGGCATTCTGGAAAACGAGTCAATAGCTGGAGACTAAATGGTTTAATTTTGAGTAAAATTACTCCAATGTATAGGATGCATCAGATTGAAGCATTTAAAATTAGAGCAGCAGATACAATGGTCGTTTAATTATGCGTGATAATCAGCGAGTGCAAAACAAGGAGCCCTAGAGCGTGAAGGGTGATTTAATTAATGAGGCAGAAGAATAGGTAGGAAAAAGGACAATTATGATAATTACAAAGACGACTCTTGAAAAGTAGAAACACGCTATTAGAGATGGACATACCTTAGACCTCTTTGAGAGGTTGGACAGGAGGCTTTCATACTGTTCAACAGTAAAAATTAACTGCGGAATCAGTTTAGCATCCTTCAGGTTGCGTGAAATCTATTCCAAAGAAAAGAATTCTTAAACAGTTGAACGTAAGGAGTCAATGAAGTACTAGGGAGAAAAAATCCACTCACGATCAACCTAGATGGAGCTGGATTTTTCGACTTTGTGAAAGTGTAGTCTATTTTTGCCCTCTTTGCAGGTTTGATGACACGCTTTTCTGCTTCCCATACCTGAAAGAAATAAGAAAGCGGGCTGTGGACGAGATATCCACTGCAATAATAAAAGATCAAATAATTTTGTGGCTCTAAGACTGTGAATAAAGAGGAACTAATGCTAGATTCATGAGGTCTAGAGGTACTTAACTGCCTCCTCCTATGTCAATGATCAAAATGAGTAAGCCCAGGCAGATGGATAAATGGCACTGTGCTTAATCGGAGTATCAATGACATTCATCTATAACGAAAGGACCTGATAAGATGTGATCATCTGCTAAATATAAAGGCATGAGAAGTTTTAATAATCCATAATAAACTTGCACACCAAAGTTGTTCATTTTGTTCAGTTCACAAGGCTCGGCATTCACATTGTGAGTGAAAGCTTACCTGAACGAAGTATACGAAAGAATACGAATGCGGTGAAATCTGACGACCATATAGACGAACCACGCGTTCAAAAGTGTTTGGAAAGGTGCCTATATTTCGCTGAACAAGATTTGTGTACTGAAACGATAAATAAAGTCAATATTAGACATCTTGTAATAAAACAGTAGCCGAAAGATCCGCTTATCCACAAGTCAAATAGACAATGGGCATAAGTAAAAAAGTGGTACTGACATGCTTTGTGAGCTTGGCCAGGAGGTTGAAGAGACTTGTCGTCAATCGAATAACATCGTATGCATGAGCTGGTTGCATGGACGTCTGCAGTAGCTCATCGACAGCCTCCCCAAGAGTTAAGAGCATGTCGCACACAGCTACTTCGCGAGCCTTTCTGCCATCAGGCAGACTTGCGAAGATAAAGGAACTGCCACTTCCTGCCGTCGATCTCGATGTTGGAAAGGATCCGTTTTCTAAAAAAATGAGTAAAACTTACACGGGCGACTTATAGAGCGTAAGTAGACTCGGCGTTTCGACGTGGGTAATTTACGTTAGATTAACCGACGTAGCCAAGCTACATTGGATGAGGTAACATCGATATTACATTGTGGTATCTCGTCTACTAATTTTAAAAGAGCACCAGCGAAGGTCGACAGACAACTGAAAGCTTATTGTCCGTTTTTCAATAGCCAAATGATCTACATTAAAATTTAGCATTTTGAGAATGGGAAGGTATGTATTCATCATTGTGATTATCTGGACCAAATACCACTTTTGGTGATAAAACATGAGGCAATGAGGAAGGATTGAAGTAAATTCTTATCCAGCAGAATGCTTGACAACTTCAGTCATTGCTCAATTCAATCAATTGGTAAAGAAGTTGCTTGAAGGAGACAATCGAAGTCACTATCAAGCATAAACTCAGTCGAAATAAAATCCACCAATTTTCGCAACACAACTTCATAGACAACACTCGAGATGTCGAGAGTCGATACTCTCATACAGTTGGACTTTCCGTACATTAGATTATGCAAGAGTCAAGACTACAGTAAATGAGTTTGGGCAGATAATTAGTAGCAAAAAGTGAAGAATCGATTACGGCCTAGAATGGAAAATTTAGGGTAGCGAGAGGACCACTAGCAGTTTACACGAAACCACTTCATCGGACATTTGAGCAAGCGCCTAAGAACACACTCACCGAGGATATCTCGCTGCACTTCTTGCTCGACGTCCTCAAGAAGCCAGACGATATCTTCCAAAGCTTGACTGAGTGCCGACAACAACACCTGCAGGATTGAGTTGGCCGCACTTTTGCCGTCTATCACAGAGAAAGTCACCTTCGATGACCCATGGGGAGGGATGCAAGAAATCGACTGTGAGGAAAGAGGTTTTACATTCACAGGGTTTGAAGGCTAAAATGAAGGGAATGTGTAAAACTTAGAGCTGATGTAAACCTCCAAACCACCATTCATGAAAAAGTGGATAGCTCCAATGAAAACTGAGCGTTGAAAAATAAAGATGACAAATCGCATGGGGTAAATCCATTGTTTTTGCGAACAAAACATGGTACTAGTTAACTAATTCGACCATCAGATGATGGAGTGTCATTCCGTTGGAAAAAACAGGTAGCATAGTTAATGTTTGTACCTCAGTGAACAGTTAATTAAGAACAAGAACCATTATTACTCGACCGTAATGCCTGTGTTGTTGTAGTCTACCTTCAAAGACAAAAAAAATAATGAATATCATTCAAGACAGGCAATGCTGGCCACCTCGAAGAACAGGGAATCATTATCCCTTTCAAGAATTGTTATAAATGCTGTATGAGTGTAACAAAAAAAAACTAGTTAATGTGTAGCGATGCGGGAGAATAATTAACCGACAAGCAATGAAGGAAATAGTCGGAGATGGAAGTAATTCCTGCGGTCTCGGTTGTATTTGGAATCGATTATGGGGTTGAACAGTCACAGGATTGGAAACATAAAAAGGGAATGCAAAAGCCTACGTCACTTTCAATGCTACCGAGGGTAGCGCGCACGTCAGCAGCAAGAAGAATAACGAGGTCGTCCCAGGTGAAGTCAGCGATAGAGGCGGTGCTGGTGGAGCGTCGGTGCAAGACGTTGGCCGGACCCAGCGATGCAGAAGCCGCAGCAGAACCTAACAGGCGTGCAAGTTGGAGTGCAAGACGCACCGTATGAGCTGCCACATGGTAACCCATCTTTATCTCGAGAGTCTCCTCTTTAGCACCCAAAAGACGGAGGAGCCAAATCAGCACCCGATCCAACCCAGAGAAATCCGGAATTGAGGATGAGGAAATGCTGAAAAAACAGCGATACTAAAATAGGAGCGTCGGAACCACACACAATAGGGTTCAACATTTCGCTGCTCAATCATCGGTAATTTTCAAAAGTGCAGGCAAAAGTCAATGAAAGTAAAATTAACAAAAAGTTAAAATTAATAAACAAAACTGATTACAAAAATTTAGGAAATTCTAGCATCTTAAGATCAGTTTAGCGCTGCAAAAATGGTTAGACGAAACCGATAAACTTCGTTGTTTATAAAAGTCAAGAGCTCACAGCAATTGCATATAGACTAAGCAAGTTTTCCAAAACCCATCACAGAAAACAACGTCATGCTCTCCCGTTCGAGATAGTGTTCAAGTCTGAAGATGCAACTAGCATAATGCAGAATACTTAAGTACAAAATGTAGACTCCAAAAAATAAGATATCCAAACATTCAAACAATATATTGACCAACGCAAACCACAAATATCACTCAAATCAAGGAGTCGAGAGCATATTGACTATTAAAAAATAGATTTCGTCTGCTTGCCTGTCAGCGGATTGAGGAGAAATAACAACAGTTCTAGCTTCACAAAGACGGATGAGCATTGGTAAAAGGATAGTGAGATCAGTGAGAAGGGTACTTCCAGGATGAGCAGTAATTGCCAATTTTCCGATCGAGTGTTGGGTGGAAGTACCCAAAGATGATGACGTAGCAGTTAGAATACGCGTCACCCACTCCTGAAACGTTGACCAATAGTCCCTCTTCAGTGCCTTACTAATACATGCCTCGATTTCCGTATCCCCTAACGATATCCCTTACCTTGAACAGCTTAACGACAGCATTCAGAGCGCGCGACTGATTTGACGTAGATTGTTGCCAAGAGTGCTCAGCCTCAATATTGCTGCTTTCAGATCTGCCTCCATTCCCATCGCCTTCCACCCCCTCAACATCAACATCGCCCTCGGAGAGCGGTTTGGGGGCAACCACTACTGAGTAAAGTGAACAGACGAGTCGCAGCAGACGTCGACTGCCAACGCCCTCCGTAACAACCCAGAAACACAGTGCAGTGGTTTGCAGCGCAGCTGTTGCAACGGCTTCAAAAGATACGGAGTTCTGCGCTCCAAGCTCTACGGCTTCCAGGTAGGTCGCATAAAAGCGAATTGTGAGACTAGTTTAACCAAGAAAGAAACGATGCGGTTTTGATTTATCTTAGCTCAGGTCAAGTTGTTACAAAAGTGTCAGAATAGTCATAAAACAACAATTTATATTGAAGCAAATGGCGTTAGCTGAATTTCGCATCTTTTACGAAAAGTTCTAGAGAGCTAGAAAAGCGATAGTTGCATTTAAACTAGCTGCAAAACCCACACCGACCCAACTGAGTGCTGACGTTCAAGGTTGTGATTTATGTTTACAAAGCATTCAAACGTATACGTATTTTACAGTACGCTAATGTGTCAATAGCGTGAGGCTAAGAAATCAGGGGCAATAAAGCCATACCGCAGAATCCGTGCTACAATACGAACGAAGGCGGCACGGTAGACGACTGAAAGGAGAGGCTGCTGGGAGGACCTACTACTACCTCCTGCAACAGCCCCAACATTTGCAGACGTGAGCTCAGAGAGGCGCGTGCAGGCCGTCTGCAGGAGGTGTAACGCAAAGGTAGGAGCCGTGGTAGCGGAAAGGAGGGCCCGTGGTAACGCTCCCACTATCGACTGCAGGCCGGAGAGTAGGAGAGCGCCGCGCAAACGTCCCTCTGAAGTGCCCACGAAGCAGACGTTGGTTCCAGCTTCAGAGGTAGTGAGAGCTGGAGCCGACGAATTCTCCTTGCCTTCCTCATCTGGGAGGTGGAAGAGGAGCTTCCGGGCGGACTCGCGACGAGCGAAAAGGCGCTTCATATGGGACCAAGTGGCGCTGTAGTGAGGGTTAATCTCAGTTTGGCTATCATAATTTTGCAGGAATGACAGGCTGAAAGGCTTTTGTAAATACTTGACAATGTTTACTGGAGGAATTTACTTGCAGTTCGAACAAATGACTTTCCAGGTTTAAATTTGAAGTTATTGAGATTCGAAGTAATGCTGCACCAAGAGAGGCATTTAACAACCAGCGTTAACAAAACTTTTACTTTAAAATAAGACATGAACATACTCAGGTTCAGTGACAGCGCTGAGAAGGTTTTTTGCCTCAAATTCCAGACATGCATCATAGAGACCCAGGAGCATCGTCAAACGTGCACGGTTCGCATTCCCTACCGCAGTGGAGTCCAATTCTAAGTCAGATGTCTGACAAAAAAAGATGAAAAACAAATCACCAATGCTTCAATCACAGCAATCTGCCTCTCCGGAGGAAATTTCATGAATTCCATGTCAGTGATTTCGATCTCTGAATCACAGTATTAATACACATAAGTTGCTAGCATTGATGGTTAGGTATTATCCTTGCCATAGATACACACTCATTTCTACCTGCAATTATTCACCATTTCGTCTGCGCATTCTTAAACAGAAATCAATGGAAGATTTTGAGTTAAATAAACGCATGAATCAGTTGGTGGATTCCTCCATGAATAGGATAACAAGCAAATCACGTATCCCGGATAAAGTACGAACAGAACTGTAGGAAATCAAGTGATGTTTATCCACTCCCAAAAATACTCTTCAATACCTACCGATGCAGCCCATTCAAGCAGTAAAACAGTTTGCTTCACTGGTGCTCCCAAACGCACGATTAAACCATTCCCGCCTCATAACAATTTATTCCCTTCAATGTGCATCTCATGGCGATAAAAATAACAAGAGAAAACAAATTATGCTGGACTTGAGTTGGGAATTACATTGATACAATGAACGACTGAATAATAACAAAATAAGATTTAACATAAAAACAATTATCAATGGTAGGTTAAGCAGAATCTAGACAATTTGTTTGTGCTTTTTTGAAGCGAAATTCGAAACACTCGTAACCCATGATGTCTTTATTTTCTGGACACTTCCTAATGTGATAGCTGCTGTTGTCACCCCTATGTTGGTGATAAAAAGCGCCATATGATGCTCCCAATGTCAATTCAAACTCACCAAACCAAACTCGTCCAGTGCCGTCTCGCGCAGCCCAGAGGTAAGATTGATGAGAAGACCGGCGGCACGACTGAAGAGGCGCATAGAGAAACCTCCCGGACCACAGATGGGTGTTGATTGCGTGAAGAGAACGCTGGTGGAGGACTGGGTAAATTGACTGGAAGTTGACGACTCCGACGTGATGCCCTCCTTGGGCTCAGTAAAAGTACGTGCAAAACGTGACCAGTGGTGGCGGAAAAGAGGCAAGCTGAGGAGGATCTGTAGACACCAAACAAGGACCTCCTACGACATTAAAAAGGCGTCAAAGTGCGAAATGTTTCATCGCAGGATCCAGGTGTCTGGGACTTTCGTGTTATAAGCAGCCAAATGACACAGTACACACTTAGCTTTAACTGTGTTCCTGATGAAAGAATTTAGTCCAGATCCTACTTACACAATCAGATATTTGGATCTGAAGTTATAACAATCAATGTACAAGTAAGTTTTTAGACCATACTTTGTGTAAATGTTCGGTAAGACAAAAAAGGCCATCAGACTGCCTCAACCCCTCATCAACTAGTCAGTTGTGCGGACAAAAAAGAAACTAAAACTGACCTATTAAGACTTGCGGTTAAAAAATGCATAAGCAACCGTCGCAAAAATACATCCTTGACATTGAAACCCGAAGGAAACAAAGCCAATTTTAAGATGAACGCGCAAAAATCAAGGATTTTAGGTAAAAATTAACATACTGGATGATCTTGGAAGCATAGTTCGGAACCAGATTCAGAGTCAATCGAGATGAGCTGGCTCAATTTTAGCGGGAGGCCGTTGAAAGCCTGTGGAAGTCCGAAGGCGCCGTCCTTGAAGACAGGTTTCCATTTAGCTAAGGCTGGATCAATAGAAGCCGAGAGGAGGCGAGTAAGGAGAGTCAATACGGGACCGACGAGACCGCGGTTGGACACAGCCACCTCACAGAGACCCTGACGAAGTAATGGAAGAAATATGCTGATTGACTTTAATTTAATGTCTTCATATTATTTGAACAGAAAGCTGTGGCTAAGAAAGCATCAAAAGCACTCCTAATTTTCCAATGGTAACTTAATCTTTGCTAATTCGTTGTGAAGATTGCCGCCCAAGGCACAAAGTTGTAAGGGAAGAATATTCAAATACCGCGGCCGTGTTTTGCGAGGAAACAAATATGATCACAAAGAAATCATCGACTGAAATCCAGAATCCTGGTTTAGATAGACGAATATTACACTTAGAAAAGTGTACCACTAACCCAGTAAATGTCCGACTTTACTAGAGCAGCGGTATCATTAAGAGGAAACCCGCTTGTACCACCGAAGAAAGTGGAGCTGATTAGGCGATGCAGAAGACCCACAATCTCAGTGCACAGAGCTTCGTTTCGCATCGGATCCGTTGGTAACATTGTCATTGCTTGTGCCACCTGTAGAAGGAAGTGGACGTACCTAGATCACGACAGAAGGATGTTTTAGAAAACAGCTAATGAGCAGAGTAATGAGAGTCATGGAAACCTGTGTATTATAGATCTGAGAGAACAAAGGAAAACCTCCAGAGGCAGGCATCTGAGAGAAGGAAGTGAGAGAGGAAAACCAGGGTTGACTGGTCATTGATGAGTGCGAGCTCATAGACCAAGACTGTTGAGAGGCGGTGCGGAAATTAGAGCTTCTAACCTGAAAGGCAATGAAACTTGGAGTGAATCGATACAAAGTTACTCACTGAAGCCTTGTACAAAGTGCAGAAATCGAATTTGATGAAATCAAATATGAAATGATGGTGACCTCGCCTATCATAAGTTACTGGTGTAGAGCGAATGAGCAGACTTGAGAGTTCATAATCTCAAAGTTTACAACTGACTGATCGTGATTCTAGACTAATAGAGCTGAATCGGGCACAAATCGAATTTTAGAGCCACTTTTTTACTCAAGTCAGTGAATTGGAAAGAAGCAATGATTTCTCGACTACCATTTATAAGATTACTGGGTGGGTTACCATCCAAAGTAAAACTGTATTTGATACAGGCATTAATTGGAACAGATGAGAGTTACTGACTGGTACAGGTTGGGAGAACATTAGAACACGGTAATAATTCCACCACATCCTCCTTAATCAGCCCATAGATAACCTATTACGCGTTCCGGCCACAAGAACAAGGTGGAGCAGATCTGTCTGTTTTAGCCTTTTCAAATGTAAGTACGAAAGTCCGTAGCTAAGAGCAAGTTCAATAACTTGATAAGCCTCCGAAATTGCTAAAAAAATAGTCCGCACATATTTCTACATACTCCTTATGTTCGTCAGCCCAAAACCTGAAGATGCTAGCTGATTAATGGAAGCAAGATACACTCACTCGCAGGTTTTTTAGCAAAATGACAAATCCTGCCACAGCGATTCGGCGCATAGGAGCCGAGTAGGCAGCAGCCATCTTCCTCAGAGTCAGAATGACACGCGATTGGAGGGAAACAAGGGAGTCCAAAGATTTGATGCCACTGGGACCACCGCCAGCGTCATTATTTTTGATGCAAGTAACAGAGACCACGAAGAGAGGAAGAAGAGCATGAAGAATGGCCGTAGAGACATCCAACGGAAAGACACCGAGGCACTCCATAAGAGGAAATAGCGATTCCACTGAAGCCTCGGCAAATTCGACCGGACAGAGAGCAGCTAACTCGCCTAACAATTCTGTCAAAAAATACAGCGGATGAGTTTGTCAGTAGACTGAAATGAAGCAAACTTACCTATCACTTGAAAGCACATTGATTTTCCCGGTTCCGACCAGATTTGATGCAGTGCAGTCCCCACGATATTCTCACGATATCCTGGCAGAGTCTTAAGTGAATGGCTTATATCTTTAAGTTTTAAGACTGGAAACTTAATCAACGACTTAATACTTTTCTACCTATCTACATCCTGCTTTACACACCTCATTTTTGGCATGCCTTTATATAATGATTCAAGTGATAGCCAGTGAACTTTAGCAATGCATGTTTAATGAAATGAGGTGTTACGCATTACAACTAAAGATTGGAGATAAATGTCTATTACTAAGAATTTTGAGGAAATGAAACTTTTCCAACCCTGACAAATAAAATATACTGAGAGGGAGTCGCATACTTTCGCTACACCCGAATGTACCATCAGAATCCTCAAATATGAAGCAGAATAGCTCTCCTCCCATCATATTTGTATCTCATTGAACCTCGAGATCACCTTTCACTAAATGGATACACGGATCTCGAACCCCCTTACCCTCTTGCTTTATTAACTCTGCACGCCGTCAAACTTTACACGAAATTTCACAAATCTGAGATTACTTATCATCACCTGGAAAATTTCTGTGAGCACATTGATAGCCAAGCGGGATATTCGCAACTTCGGAGATAAAGAAGAAGAGAGGTTACGATCCTGTTGTTGTTGTTGGAGCTGAATTAACTTCCGCACTGTCAGAGCGCGCTGGGACTTGGCGGCCGGACAACGGACCGGACCCAGAGGTCCACCTTCTCCAATGCTTGCAGAACCAAATCTGCCAAGAGCTCCGCCACCCGACTTGAGTAATGCGAAGCAGTGACGGATCAAACCATTAATCACACCACCCCATACGGTGCCCGAACTAGAGGAGTAACGCACCGAAATTTCGTTTACGATACGTCCACATACCCAAGTGTTACCCATAGGTGCTTGTTAAGAACCTACGTCTGTTGAGTCAAGAAAGAGTAAATTATTTTGATGAATGAAGTGCAACTTGACTGAAAAAGCTGTTAGCTCAATCAATTACTTTTACGGGACTAAAGACGGAGGACATGATTGGCATTCCAAAGAAAAATAACAAACTTTAAAGAAACACTCGAAACCGCACGAGTTGACGCAACTAGATGAATAACACAGACAGTGAACCAAGTTCTATCTTATTGAACTACGTTTAGCAAGTAACTCGCGAAAGACTTTATTAAAGTTTTCAACAGGGTATTATCCTAACCTTGAAGTAAATCTCGCCTAAAATTTTCAGCAGAAAAGCAAATCCGCCATGCATTACCTAAATGAAGATCATCTGCTTTTGTAACACACTTATGCGAGCACAAATAACCAGCACACGCAGAGTTCTATTTAATTCGTTTCTTAGAAGAAAGTCCAAGCTTTTGGACTCTGTTTGATTTATAATCTACCAATGACATGACACTATTAGAAGACGCGACAGCAAGGTAAAAAATAACAGTTGCCTGAAGATCGTATTTTAAGTACAGTGGAGGTTTAGTTACCAATTGGAGAGAATTTGGTCAGCAGTGAACTCGAGTTGCGGAAACGGATCGCACACTTTGCGCAAGAAAGCCGATCCAGAAATCCGATCGTTGCTGGTATAGGTGTAAGCAACCGCGGAGCAAAGATGTTTCATTATCTTGAAGTTGGAGAGAATAAGAGAGAAAAGTGAAACATCATGGATGTGATGATGAACACAAATTGGGAATTAGTACCTGTTGTGCGTGTTTCGATTCGCCTGAAAGAATGAGTGTTGCAAGAACAAAGGAAAACGTCCCAAGAACACTGGAAACGGGAAGAGTCTAGAATAGAGATGTATTAGATTCGATCTTTTATAAGGACCTTCAGAGTTTTGGCAATTTGTTCAGTCATGAATTCGTGAGTTTTGAAGGTCGACATGAGACAAGAAAGCATTTTCTCAAGCAGATCAACAGCCGCCTCGGCTCTAAACGAGAGATGAAACTCAATAGTTAGCGGCGAACGCATTACCGTAAGGAGAAAGCGAAGCGGAAGCAAGGAAACTAACTCACGAATCCCGTTGCAAATCTTCGAGAAGTCTGTTCAGTTTCACTATGCTCATACCAATGAGGTTCTAAACGGCGGGAGAAAAGTAAGAACCATAACAAAAACTATTCTTTCTGATTAGGTCGAAGAATTTTCCAATACGACCTCCTTTCATAATGGCAAAAAGTCAAAGCATCTTATTAAGTTACACACCATGTTATTCATTTTTAGACATTAAACTGGTTCTGTGACCGCCAGCAAGAAGCTAGGATGCATTCATACCACTTAGTTATGCTGAAAAACCAACATAAAGGGAGGAAGGACGAACCAGATCTTTAAATCGTAGGAGAGTACAGAGTGAGGTAGCTCGAACTTCTGGGGATAGGACGCTGCTTTTGATGCACTCAAATGCCTTCTTAATTATAGGAACCATGGAGGACAATCGCAGGTCTTTGTCCACTAGAACTGTCAGCAAAGCACTCAGATTTGAAGGATCCCACCTTGATTAATTAAATGGAAAGTTTGTGTAACGCAAAATAAAGAGAAATGCCCCACAAAGTATAGAACGTACGAACTCGCACAGAACCGATCAACGATTGAACTAGTGACTTCTTTTGACTCTTCCAATTTGCTCATGAGCGAGGCCAGAATCTCAAATACACTATAGATAAACGATACAGTAAGAACCCAATTAATGTACATAAGCTTCTCGGTGCAGTCCTCATAAAGAGACTGTATAATATGATGTGTTAATCTTTCACGTTTCCAAGTCTCCATTAGATTCACCTGCAAAGTTGCGTAAACGTTGGCGAATTTGAAACATTACGCATTGCGAAAGAAAGGCGTGAATGGACTCGCGATACTCCATAGTTACAGTGTTTTTCCAGAGGTGAGAAACAATATCCTCACAAGCTTCCAATATTTCTTCACTCTTGATAAGTTCTAAGTAATAGTCAGATAACCTGTGCGAATACCGCAAGAGATTTTCTCAAGACCAGTTAAACGCTCTAGACTGAATTCCGTAGTCAATATCTGTTGAAGGGAGTTCTGAAGCTGAAACATACAATCATATTGATTGAGGTTGTAAGTAACTTGAAAATTCTCAGCAATTACTTTTATGGATCATAAGATATGGCATAACCAAAAAACCCTTTTTTAAAAGTAGGACAGCTGCACACTGTTAAAGCTGGACGAAATCCCTACACATCAAAAAATTTTTTCCGCAATACAGTTGATGACCTAACGTCCAGCTGAATGTTTTGTCAAATGAATAGCATCTGACTACATACACATGACCAATGCTAAATATTGTCTCAGAGATAACTCTGAAGGCCAACTAAGATTTGTCTACACTAAACAACGTCCGCAGCAAAATACTACCCTTAAGTACCGAGATTCTTGAAAAGTTTTCCGAGTGCAAAAGGGATCTGCTGGAGTTACTATCCATCACACCGCATCCACTGTATTCCACACAATAGCAGAAGTCGCGCCCTTAAAGCAGCATGCTAATAATGATCGGTTTAAACATTAGCTTTATGTAATTTATTCATTCAATGATTAAGAAAATCAAAGAATCGTCAACAAAAGCAATAGAGTTCTCTGGATTTAAAAGGTTAATGGTGAAGTTTCTGGTTTCTAGGCCTATTTTTAATCCTGCCTTGCACAAATTGTGAAACGACTCCCACGAACTACAAGTGCTAAGTCCTCTTTAAAAGATCCCATGCCGCCTTCTCAGGCTATAAAGGTTTTAGGAAAGTATTTTGACCCTCTAAAACTTCTTACTGGGTAGGAAAAAGCATTAAGTTTGGCAAAATCCACACACTGGTAGGGCAGGAGGATATTGAGCCTTGGCTCAGGCCGAAGGCCAGCTCACGCGTAAAAGAAAAAATCGTATACCAAAGCAACCATTGGGCATCAAAGTACTACACACAGTACATATTTATTATAGTATTTGAAGTATTAGCCTTAGCAGTATGTAAACCTCTCTGCTTGCTCACTTCAGCCGTTGCATGTGGATGTGATTTTAGGCACGAAATAATGTGAGTGTTTTGCGCAACTGTTGCCGTTTAAGTCTTTTATAGAGTCGAAAGGTTTGTGTCTGTATAATAGGTAGTTTAATGATACGTGTAGGCGCGGAGAAGATTTGCAAACCTTGAGAGCTTTGATATTCACTAAATATGCCCCACTAAATCACTTATGCAGGCTAATAGGAACTGCCAGCCTAGCCTCATGCTCTTGAACCACGGACTTCAAGAGACGGTTAGATGCAGTAGATTTATTAGGCACTGTTTACAGGAAGAACGGGGGCAAGAGTACAGATGGGCCAAATATCAGATATCACTCAGAGACGGATTTCTCGCGGTCCCCACGCACCGAATTCGCGTTCCGAATTTGGTTCCCGCCTCTCTCCTATTAATGTCAACTTAAACACTAGTACATATCACATAGGCATTCACGTTTAGTAATTTTTAAGGAATGATTAGGGCCCCTAACCTCCTCGGGGTGCGGTGGTGTTAGCCCAGCCACGTGATTGATGCGATCCAATCACCTTTTTTCATAAAAAGCATACGTTGATAAACACAATACAGTGCTTATACTATTTGGTGTAGCCTTTGAGCCATAGCATTAGCCTTCAAATCCTTTTTCGCTGCACTCTGTTCTTTTCCTTGAATTCAAAAATCAAGGTGATTCTTGTAATAGAATGAATAGTTGCTTGATGAAGTACTGTGATCATATCTACCACTGTCAATTTGGCGCAATTGAGGGCCGCTGAAAGCTGAAGGAAGTAAATGCTTAACAAAGGATAGCATCTAAACTTGGAATAAAGCTCATAAAATGCAAGTCTTGATAAATTCACCAAAATCTGCACCTCTTCTTGATTTTAGTCAGATTTTCCTTAAAATGAACGAGTGATATACTTCTTGGAGGAATGACGCTTGGATAAGTAGCCGGCACAACCAATTTGCATTAAATGAAGTTTGAAAACAATCCTGTTGTGTTCCTCCTTCCGTTATCAGCTTTGCATGTGTAGCCCAACAGACTATTTTTGACTTTCTCCGATAAGAGATCGAGACCGGGCCTGATGCACCTTGCAACCACCTGATTTGCAAAGTCCAGCCAACTCTGAGCAATGCACAACCCAATAGGAGTCACAATAAACCAACCTTGGATGCAACCTACAAAGCCAACATTCAACCTGATATTGCTATGGTATTACACACATCCATTCCATAAGTACTTTCGGTACTGTAGGAATTAAATGCATGCCACAGAACATACAAATACGAGCTATTCATCAGATAAGTGTGCCAGTAGAGACAATCAAATATCCACAGTTTCAGAGACCAGAAGCAAGTATCCTTCAAGCACAGTCAATCGAAGCTCAGTCTGGTGAAAAATTGAAACTAGGGATGTACATTTTGATTACAAATCACCATGAAAATGAACACGAGGATACAAGTGTGTTGGCGTTGTAGGTTGGGCCTCAAATGGGACAGATAGACAGACAGGGAAAAAATAAGCGAAAGTAGAGTATGTGTTAGGGGACCAAAAGGAGGGGTAGGATGAGACGATTTCCTGAGATGCGTGCCTCGCCGCCTCCAACACCGCTGCCTCCACCGCCACCACCCCCCACAATGGAAGAAGTGGTACCGCTGGCGGCGTTAGAAGACGCTGAGGCGCCCGAAGAAGAGACGATGGCAAAGGCTGAATGCGGTTTCGTGGGATAGGATGGGCTGCGATGCAGCTTCGGCAAGCGGTCTAGCTGCTTCACCAGAGCAGTGAACTCCGGCCTGTCCTGCGGGTGGTAGGACCAACACTGGCGCATCACCTCCTGCAGGAAATGCCATGGAATAACAAATAGGAGCAAATTAACGGCAGTGTCCAGTTCAATGCAAATGATAGCCATGTTGAAGATATTATCGAAACGCACCAATGTAAGCTAAAAGGGAGCATGAGAACACGCACACTAGCCGTGAACGACGCTCAAGGTAATCAATGGAGACGCTCGAGACGAGCAATCGGAACTAGATGTAATCAATTACTTTTTCACCTGACAAACAAAGCACCTCTTGATAGTTTACTTTTCCCAATTAGAATCGAACACAACTCTGGTAATCCAAGGTTAGGTCTACCACTCCTGAGGGAAACTACAAAACCAGGGCACTTGATCGTCAATAAAGCCCAATCTTGCCGTTACCCGCTTATAGATGCCTGTGGCTCAAATAAAATTAAAACTGCTACAAAGAGGGTTAAAAGATTCCCCCAAGAGATTGAGCTGAGAATAAATGTTCCAAGCTTGACTTGAGAACCCCACCGCCTAGACAGTATGGATCAAGTACAATGGTTCCATTTGTCAGTCAAAGACTAGACCCAAATGGTGCTCAACCTACCAAAAGGATGCCGACGCCTGTATAGAGCCGCAAAGTTACGTTCGATCTGTGTAGTGATCAGTCGGAGACCATAATATATTCGAGACCCAATAAACCAGGTTCTGATCAAAGACGCAGTGTGAATGAAATACAGAAAGTCAGAAAAGATGAAAGCGATTCGAACTGATATCCGATATTTAAATGATCACTTTCAATATCATCAGGCGTGCCCTGCCACGATGCTAATTTCGCAACATTTCAATATGCAACGAATTGGTTCACAATGGACTATTGAAGATGCCGCTATGACTCTGCCTTGTCGACGTGCAAGGTTACAATCCATTCGCGACTGTTCATATGTTCTTCCTACACATGTTAGGAGTGAAGAGGTCACTGGTGGGTGGTTACATTTATTGGAAAGGTGTAAAGTCAAGTCGGAAGATTGGTGATCACTACCCTTCATTCATTTGGGCTACAAAAAACTTGGACAAGACTTTGCCACATTAATCATCAACACCAGATGATCCATGAGAGCAACTGTATTTCAATTTCACTATCTCACTTCAAACGAAAATTGTTTTGATGATCGAAGTCGTTTGCATCAAACGACAAACACAGTTTATTGAAAAAATAACCCCAAACATTACTGTTCACTCAATCTTGACTTCCACAGACGGCCTTCATGAAAAACAAAGGACAATTTGTTCAATCCTATTTCAAGAATACTTGTAAATACACAAACACGTTTAAGTGATTAAGGTGACTGAGTTCCAGAACAAAAAGCTCCTTTCGAAGAAAGCCGATGGCAAGTATCTCAAGGAAAGAACAATCGGCATCACATACAAAGTTTATGGCCCGGTACGGTCCCTTAAACCTGGGAAAGCACTTGAGAGATCAGACGCGATTTTGCACCGGCATGGAATAAATCGTTAGAACAAGAGAGTGCCAGGGAGTTCATCTAGGTGGAGCAAGACAAGCAATTATGTAGTCAACAAGAAAAAGGTAGCGTCTAGCCGGTGAATGTATAGCTGGATAGTTTAAATCTACTACAGGGAAATGCGATGCTAAAATTCATGCCAGTTGCTCAACGACGAGAAGGATGAAAGCAAGCTTCCATACCAAGCACTAGACATCCTCTCATGAAAGACATCAAGATGCGTTCTAGGAATGATCAACGCTCGAGACTAGGAAACAGTGAAAAAACGCAAACAGTCGCACACGGGTGAGAGGCAGTCCTTAAGTGAATCGGTCCCAATTAGTCATACGTGGCCACACACAAGCTAACATGAATGAATGTTTTCACAAGCCTGTTTTACTCTACGAGTAACCATCAATTCTGGAAACTCAACCTTGTCCACTCGACTCCGATTGCTAGAACTACAATGCAAAGTTTACTAGACTTGCCGAACATATCTATTATGCATATAAAGCTGAGGTCCAAAAGAATCTGCTTAGTTAAATAATGCCTGATTAACTTTCCAATTTCAGTAGACTTAATGCAGTACCAAATACTGGTTATATCATTAAATCAGCCACTCATTTAGCTTCAAACACTTTGTCCGCTCTAAGGTTTCAAATATACCGTGTTCTGTTGACCCAAAGAAAGAACCAAAAAAAAGGAAGAACTGGCTTACTTTGAAGTCCCGAGGGCATTGCAGCTTGAGAGGAGGCTTTATTCCAGTGCCCACGAGGTAGACAAGCGTTTCTGTCGGTAAGCCACGGAAGGGATACTCACAAGTGAGAAGTTCGTACCACACCGTTCTGCCAAGCGTGAAAAAGAGCAGTCGATAAAAAGGTAAAAAATAACTATCGGCAGATTGAGAAAAAAGTCCAAAGTAATATGGCGGATCTCACCACCCCAAGGAGAACTGCATCCGATGAAGTAAAAATTCTAAGCATAACCAGAGATACTGTGACTATATACAGATTGTTTCCCAGAAGCATCACTCCACATTCACCGAATATCTCTCTCCTTGAGGAGAAGTTACGGGAGCAGATGGAGAAAAGCCCATTACTCACAACTCCGTACAACCTACATTCAACTAACTACCCCTATTGCTGGAGCTGAGTGATGAAAGAACAATATTCCATAAGTCGCCACTAGCTCACAAGCTCACGTAAAGTATCGCGACCATTTTTACCAAGAATTGAGTAAGATAAAAACAGCAGTAAGTGAAGAGGAACTTATAAATGAGAGACGACAGGAGCAAGTCACCCGAAAGCAAAGACATCGCTCTCTGGTGTGAAGGGCAATTCGTTGGCCGGATTACCGATGTTTAGAGCACGCATGATCTCTGGAGCCACGTAGCACAGCCAGTTAGGCGGAATGTGCACATAGTTTCCGCATCTGACAAGAGGACACAGAATAGTGAGGAGAGGAACAATGTGCATCCAACAGTACCAGCGACACAACGTACTTGGCGAGTTTGCAGAAGTTAACAAAATTAAAGAGAGCAAAGTCGGCAATCACGGCTTTGTAGTTGGTCTCAATGAAGACATTGCGCGTCTTGAGATCTCGATGCACGATCTGGCGTGCGTGAAGGTAGCCCATGCCTTTGGCAATTTGGCTAGCGATAGAGATGATGCGGTTAGCGCTTAGGCTGTGCTTCCGTATGTGCAGTAGGTAGTGCAGACTTTCGCCCTGAAAAAAAAGCACACACCACCTTCCAGATGCCACAATACAACACAGTATCACAACGACTTTATTCTACATAAAAGCAACCCGTCATTTCTGTAGATGTGATTTTTCACGCCTGATTGACAGAGCTTAAGGAGATATCGGGAAATGTGATAAATAGAAGCAATATTACCCATTATTGTTTGTCCACTAGTCAAAAGCACTGGATTTTCACAAATGCACCAATTTTTAGCCGAGATTTGATTCAATCAAATTGTCGACTAACTATAAATTAGAAATGTGCGTTTAGTATCCGTGTGAATTTATGAATGCGCTGGTAAATTACATCGACCAGCGCCACTGAATGACATTTGTGGAGTGCCATTTTGATTGTGGCAATCAGAACACCAATTTATTATCCAAAGGTACTGTGAGGGGTCTGTAAATTGTAGTTAAATGTGCACAAATCCGCCAGCTGACTAAAATCAGCCACTTTTAGCAGGAGGCTGGAACGATATGGGAAAGCTTGGTGGAAAGAAAAGGCGCCCATTCTCTGTTGAAAATCAGTTGGTGTCGCGGGACACATGTCACCGGTCGTTCAGACCCGCATGCAAACTAATAAATGCTAAGCAGACTAGCACTACAAACGACTAACTGAAAGCCAACAACGAAATGCTGAAAATCTCCCGTTCTTACATATTCAATGTTGTATTTGACTAGGTAGCGGCAACACAAAGGAACGTAAAGTCAACAAATGTGTGTATAAAGTAAACACATTTATAAATCTAGCTACATTTAAGTTGAACATTCGACGCCATTCAGTATATCAAGTTTCATGTAGGTTGCATCCAAAAAATGAGAAATAACCAATGGAATTTAACTTCTACACAAATTGTTCGGTACAAAAAACAGAAAAAGCATTTGAGCCAAATGGGGAAGTTACATCTACCCCGCTTTAAAGAACTAGCCTATACATGGTCAAATTTCAGCACTCAAAGAACGCTGGGCACTTAAAAACGGCAAGTGGACGGCAAGCAAAGATGATCATTTGTTGTCGAATGACGTCCAACTGCATTAGCGTTGGTCAGCACGTACCTTGCTAAGTTGAGTAACAATGGCAAGATCAGGGGGTTTAGTGCAGGCACCCATGAATAAAACAAGGTTTTCATGCCGCAGCTTGGGCAGTGTAGCCACTTCACGTTTGAAGGAGTTGAGGAAGTTGACACCATTGTCATCGTTGTCGTCCAGAATATCAATCTTCTTTACTGCCACCTCACCATGCCACTTGCCCCGGTACACCGTCCCTATCACCCCACGGCCAATCATTTCGCCCAATTGCAGATTCTGGAGTGGTATGTTCCACTCCTTAAGGGTCACTGACATCTAAAAGGCGATGGGCACTGTCAGCATCCTGTTCGCTTTTCTGCTGTGTTGAAAGCCATTACTCCGGCAAGCATGGACTACCATAAACAAAGAAAACTTCGAAACGCCTGAGATAAAGTCCAAAGATCTCGATTTCACAGAAGTATGCAAAGAATACTTCAAAGTTTTCCTTTTAAAATTGAAGCAGCAAATAATTGGCAGGGTCGAAGATGTGAGCACAGATTCGACATTTCGACCATCTGTTGTGTAAGGCTAAATAGCAAAACCAGTAAACGAGCATTTCGCAATTTTGTAAAACACTCTTTCAAAGCATTGACCCAATAAAATGGAAAAAAATCGACCACGATTCCTGTTGCTTCCAACCCAAAAGCCAATTAAACCCATTCGCATCCATTGGATTATCAGGTCACATGAAAAAAACTGTGCAAGCGATTAATTTGCACTTCTCGTGAAGATAAATGGTACACCAATTGCCAAGAGGGGAAACATTGTTTGCGTTGAGTTGTACATGTAGGCTTTCCAAAAAGTCCATCAATCGGGATCAATACGTCAAGCTTCAACGGAGGAGAGAGTCCAGATGTATCCGGACGTAGAAAAGAGCATTTCACACAGTGGTTCTTTTAAAAAGGTCTTATTTGTGCCCATCCAGCAGTTGCTCACATTTAAAGCACCCTAAGGTGGAGAAATGGATGGGCAAGACATCATTCGTTGATTTCAAAATATCAACGCTTTTGACGTGCGTTCACAACAACACTATTTTATTTGATGAGCATTTTAAAGCATCGCTTTGTTAACATTAAATTTTTTCAATGGTTTCAAGCTCTGAGAAGGGCAATATTTACAAAAGCTTGGTTTATTTTTTAGCATTGTGGCTCAAGCGAGTACAGCATCACTCTTTGAAGTTGTTGTAGACTGCGAAGACAATAATCGTGCACGGGTTAATGCAGGGTATTATTGGTTTGAGCAACTGCTAGTAAAAATGACGAACATTGGTCAGCTTCTCAGCAAGATACCGTTTAACAAAATGATTGGCACGTTTTGAGCAGAGCACATGGTCTGAGGATCATCAAAATACAAGCCCACTTGAAAACGGCAACAACAAACATACGCTATTGGTCCTGGTGAAGGCGGAGTGATCGTCCTGACTTTCGATGGACTCCAAGCGGGAAAGTCGGTCCTGCCGAGGGGAGACCACAAAAAGACAATGATTTGATAAATTCGGCCAGAGAAATGTTTCCAAATTCGAGGCGGCTATTTAGTCGTTAACCTAAGGAGTTAACTTAGTTCAAATGCTGGAAGCCATTCATAAGAGCCGCTTTTGTGAATCCAAAAGTTAATAACCCACGAAGATGCAGCAACGTTACTATTAAAGTCCAAAGCCGAGATGACTTGCCTCAACCATGGTCCGAGAGCTTTCACAAGAGGAAAGCATTCTAGAGATCAAAAGTGGAACATGAAAGTTAGAAAAGTGTTTTAGCAAAGTTGTGCTAAAATACTAGAGAAATTCTCTTACCGTGAAGGAGCTGGAAGTTTTGTTAAGCTACTTTGATTGTCTGAAAAGGAAGGGAAGATTAAATAATCTGTCTCTGGGACAGCATTCATCCTTCGTTCATCTCAGCGAACCGCAAACCTCAAAATTTGAAAAAGACAACTGGACTCGTTACAATATTGTTGCTTTTGTAAGCTATCAGCTAAATATTATTGCAACATTTGAGAACTGGAGCCAAAGTGCCGATTGCCATGCTACTATCCAAATGCTAGTAGCGGTGCTCAAAGTAACCAAGACTTTCATTTTAACAGATCTATACAGAAACATTGCTGCAGCGTTGTACATGCGTGAGTGACAATTACGGTTTATTAATAATAGCAAATGCACATTCTATGGTCCCCTTTATGATGAGTGACAGTGATAGTACGCACGCACAACAGGACGATGACATAGATTTTTGTGAAAGAATCTTCATACAGATAGCATCAAACACCGGACGGTAATGACGAAACGTTCAGAAATAGGACACTTTAATGGAAGTCAGCACATCCATTAGAAATATTCCTAGGTGGAATCGATGCCATCATTCCTAAGGTCTGATAAGAGCAACGAACTTTTGTCTTATTTGGCATACAGTCTAGGTGGAAAAGAAATTTGTTGAGGCAGCTGAAAACATACTTTAATAGGTGAACTTGCAGATTCAAAATCAGCATGCATCTTTCTACGCTAGTGAGGTGAAGTAGGATATTCTGGGATCCTTCAAATGCAACAACAATTCCGTCGGGGCCGAAGTTTCTCATGCTCTATTCCAAAGCTAACGTAGGTGTTTAAATTTAACGAGAAGATACGTGAAAAACTGAACTTAGTTTTCATCCTTTTTTACCCTTACAAGGCCATTTTATGCGAGCTTGTTTTACAAACACAAAACGATGCGTCATTTTAAAAGTCACAAATGAAGGGTTTTAGAAATAAATTAGCAATTGAGGTGACTCGCCTTGCAAGTCTCCTGACAATGGATCGTTGGGAGGTGCAGTAGGAGTTTGGTCAATGGATGAAACGTGAGAGAGATTGAAGGAGTTCCCGTTATTTTGCAGACACCTTCCACCCATGAAATCGACTTGGAACGGCGACCCAGGTGTTGAACAGCTGTTGCAGGAGGAGGCGCTGTTCGAACAATCAGAACCCTGCCAAGGTTTTGGAGGGTTGATTTTGTGATAAAGAAAATAACAGGGTTCCACTGTTTTTGTTTATGCAAAAACACACTACCACTAGGGTGATTTGGATCACAATGTTCTGTAGCAGCTGCAAATAATTTAGTAAAAAAAATTGCATTTTTGAGAAGACACCATACTTGTCAGGCCAAAACATCAGGAATTTAACAAAGCGTCAAATCCCATTCCTCAACAACTTCATTCTAGCAGCATTTTAGAATTCGAGTAGTCCTCCTAGTTGCCTCTTAAAAAGAGGTGTGCAAAACAGTTTAGAATTTTGAGCTTCTCCAAATTGATGCTATGTCAGAGGCTTTAAACTCTTGAGTATTTTTACGAGAACATTCGATCTGCCTTAGAAATCAGTTCATAGCTATCCGGTGTGAACTCTTGGAGAACAAGTATTTCATGAAGTCGAAAGCAGTCACGGAGAACAAGTTGAGCCATGTGCAGATACCCACAGGAGAGCGGAAGAAATGGTGATAGTACTACTGTTTTATTGACCGCGATACCACACTGTCACGCCGTACCAAATCAAAGGCAAAAAGTAGTCAAGAAAGAGAAGATTGCTCAAAGGATAATCCATTTAGTACCTGCAGAACGAACACATTCGAGACTCACTTAAAAAAGCTTAATAAAAAAACTATTGCGAAAAGAGAATCTCACCGATTCTATGTTGATTAACAATCACGAA